GCTGAGTGAGGACCCCGTCTTCTTTGATCGATGTCCTCCAAGATGGTCCCAAGAAGGTCTACAAGAAGGCTCCCAAGAGGGCCCCAAGAAGGCCCCTAAGAGGATCCCAAGACGCCCCCAGGAAGCCCCCAAGACGCCCTAAGAGGCCACCCCGAGCCCCCCAGGAGAGGCCTCTAGTTCACTGAGGCTTCCCAGGGAATCCGAATGATGGATGGTGGGCTCACTGAGGCTCCCCGGCTCACCAGGCATCGTGTCGGGATGGGCTGGTAGGAGCACTCGAAGCGTTTAGAGCTGAGTTGTTCAACTCGTACGCAAAAGGGTGCAAGGGACAAGGAGGAGGCAGGAGAGACGAGGGGAAAGAAAGGCGCGGGCCGCTGCTGGAGTCCCTCTTCGGGCCCCAGGGCCATCAGAAGACGATCCGCGATGGAAAATGGGCCCCAAAGGGAGACTGGGGCCATTGGCCGGCACGGACAGGGAGGGAGCAGCGCAGAGGGGGCAGGATGAAATAAGAGGGAGAGGAGGACGAGGAGGAGGAGGAGGAGGAGGAGGAGGAGGAGGAGAAGAAGAAGATGGAGGAGGAGGAGGAGGAGGAGGAGGAGGAGAGGACGAGGACGATCCGCGACCGCGAGGTCGGGAGCCCGCGTCGTGAAGAGGTTACCTCGTCGGCTCGGGTGGGCTGCGCGGCCTGGTGGACCGCGCGACGACGCCACGACTTCCACCTCCTCCTCCGCCTCCTCCGCCTCCTCCTCCTCCTCCTCCTCCTCCGCCTCCTCCTCCTCCTCCTCCGCCTCCTCCTCCTCCTTCCTCCTCCTCCTCCTCCTCCTCCTCCTCCTCCTCCCGGCTGCGACCTGGAAGTGGCCCGCCCTCTCCGTGCACTTGTTCTGTTGCGCGCCGGATGTGTGAAAAGCTGGTCACGCACATCGCTCTTCCCTTCGGAACGATTTCGGTGTTTCGAACATTTCTTCTCCCGCTGCAGCGCTGGCCTCAGTGCAGGATCGTCGCGTCGCTCCCGTCCTTCAGAACTGCGTTCTCGCCCCAGCGCAGGCCACTTCTGTAAATCCGAAAAGATACTCATTGTTGTCTCCCCGCTCCTTTCCCCATCCTTCGCCTTCCCCTGGTCCTCTTGCTCCTCCCGCTCTTCCCGCTCCTTCAGATTCTGCTGCTGTTTCTCCTCGTCCTCCTTCTCCTCCTTCCTCCTCCTCCTCCTCCTCCTCCTCCTCCTCCTCCTCCTCCTCTCTCCTCCTCCTCCTCCTCCTTCTCCTCCTCCTCCTCCTCCTCCTTCTCCTCCTCCAGTGTACACAGCTCCCTTTTGCATACTGTGCATAAGACAATGGGGTCCTTCGGTGGCTTCCACATGACAGCCGTCGGCGGGGGCAGAAAGACCAGCGCAACGGAAAGGGATGGGCGGGAGGTGCAGGATGCCAGACATGGCGCGAGAGCGCCTAGCCTGTCCTCTTCCTCTCCTCCATCCTCCTCCTGCTCATCCTCTCCTCGTCTTCCTGCTCCCCTCCTCCTGTTCTTGGCTTTCGGAGGAGAACCCCCCGTCGTCCAGGCCGGACGCGGCTCGACAAGAACCTGGCCAGGATGGACGACAGGGGGGACTTGGGATGCGTTTGAGCAGAATCTGGGTCTGGAGGTGCCGTACTTTGTCCTCCGTCATGGTTTTGTTCACGACCAAGCCCTTGGAGCGCTCGACCCCTCCCTGGAACTGGTTGTTCATCCTGGATCCACGTTCGATGGTCCAGGGGGGCCAGAGCTGCGCTGAGGACGATTTTGCAAAAAAACAAAAAACGGGGGATTGTAACAACTACAGGCCCATCAGCCATCCCCCGACCGTTTATAAGATGTTTGTCATGATATTGCTGCAACGCATGAAGGACGCAGGGGCCGAGCAGCATATATGGCAGACGCAATTCGGCTTCGGATCTGAATGCGGCACAGCCTATACGATGTTCATCGCGCGGCGAGTGTTAGAGGAGACGTGGGCGGCGCGCGATGGCAAGAGCATCTCTTTGGCTCTTGACTGGGCGAAGGCGTTCGACACGGTGTCTCCGGAGTCGTTGGCCAACGCGTTGCGGAGGTTCGGTTGCCCTGGGAAGTTCGTGCACATGGTTTCCAGCGTCTACGACAATCGCGTCTTCACTGTATCAGATTCTAGCGCTACATCTGGAAAGAGGAAGCAGCAGTATGGAATTTGTTAGGGCTGCCCCCTATCTCCATTCCTGTTTACGATTTGTATGACAACCCAGCTTCACGATGCTTATCGAAAGTTGCGCAGGCGACGTGGCGGGGAAGTGCCGAGTGGGGTAGTGAGAGACTTGGTGTACGCAGACGACATGCTCCTAACCAGTAACAGCCCTGAAGTGATCTAGGAACTCCAGTGCTGCGTCAAGAGCTGCAGGGCGCACTATGGATTGCATTTAAGACCGGACCAACGAGAACGTAATGAATAACTTGGGCTAGCCCGGTCCGTCGTCAGCAAGGAGTCGCTGATTTACTTGGGTACAGCTCTTTCAGCAGATAGCAGAATGGGCGCTGAATTGAGCAGGGGGATTGGAAGTGCAAAGCGTGATTTTCAGACATTACACACTATTTGGTCTCATTCTGCCTTATGGAGGAAGCAGAATGTGAAGATATTCAACGCGTGCGTGGTGTCGAAGTTGATGTACGTACTGTTTGCGGCATTCCTCAGCAAGGCAGAACGACGTAGATTGGACAGTTGTCAGAATAGATGCCTGCGAAAGATTTTCAGGATACAGCCGTCATTCATGAGCCGGGTGGCCAATGCCACTGTCTTGAACATATCGAACCAATCCAAATTGAGCGACTGCCTCGCCAGGCGGCAAATGATCTTCATGGGCCGACTTGCACGCCGACCAAGAGAGGACCCTGTCAGAGCTTCAGTGTTTGAGCCGGACTCGCTGGTCGTCCGTAAAGCCGCAGGCCCCAGAAGGCGAGGCAGACCGCGACAGACGTGGGGAAATTCAGTCTGGAACAGGTGTCTGAAAGCCGCTGGCTTGCACGAGCGACTTGCTGCATACTTCCACCCAGAAGGCGGTGCAGCTCGCGCGTGGGGGCAGGCAGTCAAAGGCTGGCCCAGATGCTGAAGGCATCCAGCCGCCAGCCCGCATCTCAAGTCTCACCCTGCTCACGCACCGTCTGCTGCAAGGCTTAACCTGACCTGACCATGATTTTCTCGTGACGCCTCGGATCTGCGCGCGCAGACGCCAGCCCAGGCAAGCCCCACCCTGGGCCCTGCGTATCCGCGAGACATGGGGGTCACAGCAGCGGTCCTGGGCCCATGGTCGGACTGGCCAGAGGCTCGGCGCCAGTGCGCAGTGGCGCCGGCCCAGGGGAACGAACGAGGAGGTTCGGGCGCCCAGGCGCGCTCACATGGTGGGCTCTGGCGCCCGCTGGCACCCCGCACCTCCCCCGACCGGAATGGGTCCTGAGGCCCGACGCTGCGACAAAAAACGTGGCATCGCAAGACTTCACGACCGGAGCCCTGGGCCCAACCTTTCTGGCTGCGCTTGCTCCAGCTGGACCAACCCGCGAGAAGGCCCCAGGCCCCGAAGCTGGGCGGGGGCGCCCGACTCGGAAAAGCTGCCACGCCAGGATCTCAGGGGAGGGGGCGCGGTCCGGCGTGAGCGCCCGACTCTGGAAAACTGCGACGGCAGGATGACGTGAAGGTCGGTCGGAATTCCGTTGCCGGCAAGATGGTTGCGTGCACAGTTTTCGCACGGCGGGAGAAACGGACTTGCAGCAGCAGCGCTTCCCCACCTCCGCGGCCATTTGCCTCAGAGGCCCCACAGAAGGCCGTGCTGGCAGCACGCGTTCTGTACTCTACGCGCGTTTGGTCCTGGAAAACAGTCATTGTGGGGAGGAGGCTCTGTCCGGCCGTCCTCGAAGGCGCTGGTCGGGCCAGCGTCCGCTGGGCGCGCGCGCACCCCCATCGGCTGGCTTGGTGGGGAGTGGAGGCGCGGAGGCCTCTGGATCTGGGCTCCCCTCGATGTCTGTAAAACTCTGGGAGGTCAGATGAAGCCTGCGTGCGTGAGACAGGCGCATGGGGTCGCTGGGTCTGCGTAAGAAGTATACGCTGGTATATCCTATGTGCTAATGCTTGTGAGCACGCCTACACGAGTTTGGAGTGGCCGTTGTGGGTATGATCGTTTTGGGCTTGAGAGTGCTGGTGTCTCTGGAAGACATCAAAGGGAGCCCAACTCGGGATGGAGCCTTCAACTCGTGCTCCTCCGCCCCATGGATCGCGCCGGGCTCCGATCAGGACTTCTGACATCAACCAGCCCGCAGCCCACAGCGACCCCAAGGAGGTGGGCGAAACTTCCTGGGAGAAAATCCTGGACGCGGGAGCCCCCCGGACACACGACGAGGCGGCTCCACCACCAGGGCACGGAGGTGACTCGAGAGATGTCGGCCAGCACCGCACGGCAAAGGGGCTCCGACGAGAAGGAAGAGACGGAGGCGAGGCGGAGGAAGCAGACCTACGGCCAGATCTTCTCACCAACCCCCCGGCCTCTCGATCCCATCACAGGGACTGGACTGGCACCCTAAACCGTTGTCTGACGAACCCCGAGGCCAAGAAGCTTCCCTTCCCTCGAGCCGCCAGTGGATCTGGGAAAACCGACTCGGGCGAGCAGGCCCGAAGGCGGCCCGAAGTGCATTCACGGCCGAAGCCGAACCCTCGAAGTGCACCATGGCCGCATCACGGCCGAAGCCGAACGCGTCGGAGGACTCGGGAGGAGAGCAGCATCGCGGGCGGGCCTTCGCCGTGGCCGCCTCCTCCTCTCGGGCCAGGCGACAGGGGGATAGCAAAGAAGGGGGGGGGGAGGGTGAGAATCAGCTCACGCAGCTGACTCTCCCGGCGCCTCCTGGCGCCAAAGGCGGCCATGTATCGAGGAATGGGCCCCTCGGTGGGGCCGAGACCAGCTGCATGCAGCAGATTTCGTAGCCCCCCCGTTCCCAGTCCCCCCCTTTCGTCCGGCCCGATCCTCCTGCTCCCGCAGCCGCTTCTCCGTGTCCGCCTCGGGGCAGGGGCGG